TAAAAAAGAGTTTTATTTATGCAAAAGAAACTCAATATTATGTTAGGCATTTTGAGTACGCTTCCCCGCTAGGTTCCCACAATAAAATCAGATGCCACAAACACTCCACCAGATGGCCGAGCCCCACCCATAAAGATTGTTTCGAACTTGAACTTCTAATGCACTTTCGCAAACGACTGGACCACAACAGATCTAAAATTCCATCTTCCAGCGATCAAGGAAGAGTTTGGATTTTTAGGCGACTTTGTCCATGATCTTGTTCAGAGGGTTGATTGGTGGCTTCGACTGTTTCAACACTTGGATGGCCGCGTTTGGATAAATTTGTTTTTAAAACTATATTTATTTATTAAAAAGTTATTTCTGTAATACTTTAAAATATCTGGTTAAAATATTTATTTTTGAAATTTCAATTTTTCAATTAAAAATTCCTGGAGGCCTTGGACGATGTTTAGCAACTCTGTTTCCAAGAAAACATAATTTTTTTTTTTTACGTTAAATAAATTTTTGGGAATTTTTTTAAAAAACTAGAATCAAAATTCATTTGAAAATAGTTCGGGATAAGATTGATTATGTGCGCATGCAATTACTTTAGCAGCACTATAATTCTGGCTATCCTTTGCTTTTGAGCTTTCGGGCTGCCGGTAGGACTTCTGGCTCATCTTGGGAATGTTTTTTGGAAGGGCGGACTTAAAAATGTTAATAACATGTTTGGTTGATTCAAAAAGAACAATTTTTTTTTTATTCTTAAATTCTAACATTTCCAATTTTATGTTCAGTAAAAAAGATGAAAATTTAACAAATTTTTTTTAAAAAATTAAGTTTTCGAGAGTTTAATTTTACTATATTTTAAAAATCTTTTGATTTTTTTTGAATCTTTTATTTTTCAATACTCTAATGAGGAAGGACTTCTGGCTCATCTTGGGAATGTTTTTTGGAGGGGCGGACTTAAATATGTTAATAACATGTTTGGTTGATTCAAAAAGAACAATTTTTTTTTTTTATTCTTAAATTCTAACATTTCCAATTTTATGTTCAGTAAAAAAGATGAAAATTTAACAAAAATTTTTTAAAAAATTAAGTTTTCGAGAGTCTAATTTTACTATATTTTTAAAAGCTTTTGATTTTTTTTGAATCTTTTATTTTTCAATACTCTAATGAAGTAGATTATAAGAAGAGAAAATTGGTCAAAAACACATATTTTTTAATTTTTCTAAATTTGTAGATGAATTTTTTAATTCTATAAAATAAAAATCAGAACAGAAAAATCATTTTCAACCAAACACCCATAATTATATAATTCAATTATGCATGAATATTAAAATACATAGAAACCATTTAATAGGAACCATAAGATAAATATAATATATATTCAAATAAATATAATCACATTATTAAATTAATTCTATGGTATTAATGAGAACAATAAACGAAAAAGTTATTCCTTTGGAATAATATTTAGAAAAAAAGTTTATACTGTAAAGGTGTTAAATGATCAACAAATGGGAAATTCAAAAATTAATTATATAAAAAGAAAAATGATTTCACAGTTATAGCAAAACCCTAGGTAATTCACTATGTTATATAAGAAAATTATTTTAAAAATTTTACATTTTAAATATAAACGGAAATTTAATTTAATATGTAATAAAATTAAAATATAATATCAAAGAATTACAGATAAATTATGAACACCAACTAATTAATTAGGTCTGTACTGGCGTTCGAATTGGGCGCGGCATGCCTTTCAGGCTCCTGCTTAACGGACTGGGCCAAGCCATGGTTGAGCTCAGCTTTTAGGACCCAAATTGAATTCCGGCCCAGGATTTTTTCTCTACCAAGATTGGAAGTTTAAAGTTAGATTTTACATATTTAAACTTAAAAGTTAGAGCTTGATGAAATTGAAATTAAATATTGGAAAAACATGTTATGTCTCAAAAAATTTAAATTTTAACTCTATATTCCTCACAAATATATAAAAGAGATATTCCCTTGCCAATATTAAATTCATACCATTTGCCTCTAATTAACATTTTAATGAAATAGTTTTTGAAAATTTTATTTTTAAATATATTTTCAGGTGTAAATGCTGACTAATCTTTCCTCATTTTAATTATTTATAATCACCGTTTATATTTAAAATATATTTATGCCCTTTAAAAGTATAATTTTTAAGAAATATTTTATTTAAATATTGATTGAGGAGAGTAAGTCTTATAAATTTAATATTTGCGAGAAAAATATTTTATTTATATGTTTATAGGGAGTAGAGTACTAAATTTTAAATTTTGTAGGAATGAAGTGCTATTTAACCTTAAATATTTATCTCATAAAATATAATATATGTAAATTATCTTAGTGAGAAAGAAATTTCTTGAAACTCTTGCATAAAAATACACTTTGCATTACCTTAATGTAATGGAAACAGACTTATTAGTTAAACCCAGTTCATTTATTTCTTTATTAAAGAATCTCCAAGAGAAATTCCCAGTCAATATGTGGAAGTTCTATGGGTTTGAATGAAATAATTCTTTTACATAAGTTTCAACTTTCACCAAACTTAATTTTTGTGACTTTGTGGCCTTACATTCTTAATTTTCAGAAAATGAAACCAATAAACCTTCATTGCCATGATATATTTCCTATAGAGAACTGAATTTACGGCTAAGAATGATTATGCTTGACATTTCTGGTCAAGTAACCAGTAACTTATTGGGTTTTTACTGTGGGTAAAGAAATACTTTTATTTATAAATTTAAAAATCTCCCTAGTTTCCATTTTTTAAAAAATATATTAATACATTTATGCTTGTTGGTTGATAGCCCGTTATTTACATGCATTCATTCATTTCAATATTCTTGGAAAGGAAAAAAATTAAAAATGAAAAAGTCTGGTTCTTCTCTACCGTAGCTACCCGATATGTATTCCCTGCTGGACATGGCACAACCGCCCAAAGAACAAACTGGACGGCAGATGTTGCTTGTATGCGCTGGAAAACAAACGTGTTGCGCCGTAATATTTCCGTATACAGCATCCACACATACGCATACATATACATATACGAGTATATGATGTGTATATCTATATTTGTTTGGGGGAGGAAAGAGAGAGAGAGAGAGAGAGGAGTGGAGCTCGTGAGAGGGTGGCTGGATTCCCGTGAAAGCAAACCAAAATCGAACAGAGACGCTAATGTCACTACCACATATCGGACGTTACTTCTCACGGGCCTGCAGACTGCAGTCTTCCCACCTAATCTTTCTACTCTGCTTACATTACAGACGTGCCCCTGAAAACTTCTCTAATTGCGAATACGTACACTCGACATTTCAAATATGCATTGTCAGCCCCCACTATTCAGCTTCATTAAATAAATTTCCATATATCCCTAAACATTTCAATCCGTTGTGAGGGAAACAATTAACTATATGACAAGTAATTTTAATTAAAAAAATACCTCATTACTGTTTAAAATAACACTCTTAAAAACTAATTTATACTTTCGTTATCGTATCATTCCTTTCTTGTTGTTGTCTACTTCCCATAAATCCCATGTTAAACTTCTTTTAATCCTTTTTATTGAAGAAAGAATTAATTTCCTTTTCATCTATTTTCTTTGAGATTTACCACAGATCTTCTTATGCTTTCACCAAAGTTTCACCATAAATGTTTATCTTCATCTTCATCCTTTTCTTCGACTGCTTCTTCTCTGCACCCTTGATTTCGAGCATTCAACAACAAATCTAGAAGTTGATAAAATTAATCAAGACGTGATAGAGTGACTTGACCGGTGATGTAAAAGCTGAAGTGGAAGAAGGGGAAGTAGAAGCAAAACGAGTGATCAAAAGCGAAAGGGCAATTTGGTCATCCGGAATTAGATTTAGCTAAATTTACGTATAAAGCGTGGATTAAACTAAATTCACAAACTAGGATTTAGATAACCCCCTTTTTTTTAACGCACACACGAATACGTACCTTGTAGCTAGATGAGAGTCAACGCATACCACACATACACCCAACTGAAAGCACCACTCAGTTTCTTTGCTTACAAGAGAGTCAATACTAACTAACAATCTCAACACGTTAAAAACCAATGACAACGTAATATTTTATTAAATAAGAACAAACCCTTAAGACCAATTTGTGTTGGGCCAGGTTTGAACCCTTCAAACCCATCTAAAGTTAGTTGTCAAAGATGGCGTTGGGGTTTTTACTACTGGGGCCTTGCGGGATTGATTTTAAAAAAAAAAAAAGAAGAATTATTTAGGAAAAAAAAGTAAAATATTAAGGCGTATAAAAATCTTTAAAATTAATGGTTCCCCTAATCTCCATTGAGATCTGCCCATGGCTCTATGTGATTGAAGGCAGTGAATTCTACAAACTAGAAGAAGACTTCGTCCACTGACCCGAGCCATCGACCGGCTGAGGACCGCAAGGGTAGCACTTGAAAATGCTTAGAACCCTGCAATTGAATGGACGATCAAATGATATAAAATGGGGATTTGGTAATCCATCCCCTGATAACTTAAAAGAGTGACTTGCAGGATTCAAAACGGTAATTGATTTCAGTAGACAGATGAATTGGGTCGTTCTTGGAGGACTTCAATGCTGAAATTGGAGCTATATTGGAAGAACCAGACTCTATATAGTTGTATGTGTAACAGTTGGACATTTAATTCGGTATATTGTGATGATATTTTTATCCATTAAGACGAATTTGGCAGCCACATACATCACTATCTGGGCCCCTAAAAGAAAAACTAGATGAAAGAGAGATTAAATTGATTTAATGCTTGGTCAAGGGCGACGCCTCCTTGTTGAGCGAGGGTCTGGTCCCCATAAAATTCATAGTAAATATATAACACATCAAATTAATTAAAGCTCAATTTATTTTGTAACAAAAAGAAGCACGAAGAATATTAATTAAACAAGGTGTAGTGCGGAAATTTGAGAGGCCTCAAAAGCAGCAAGCAATAAAGATCTAGCCTAAGTTAACAAAAGCCCTTTTACTTGTGAAGGCGAAGAGTTGGAATGGCCAAGAGATGCTTGTCCCTAGAAGTCACCATTCCAAACGCTTCACTCATGTCCAATTCTTCCAGTAACATGTTTGGGAGCTCCCAATCAAAGCAATGCACCAACTGTGCGACCACCAGCCGAACCATGGTGAGCCCCAGTTGCATCCGGCGCACCCTCTCCGGCCAGCCCCAAATGGAAGGAGTTGGAAGTCTCTTCCCTTAACATCTATGCTGCTACGGGCGAACCTTTCCGGTATGAATTTGTCTGCGTCAGTCCACACATTCGGGTCTCTCCCAATCGCCCAAACATTCACGGCGATCCTAGCCTTTTTGGGTATATAGTAGCCGTTGATGTTGCAGTCTTCTGTTGCTTCGTGGGGAAGCAGCAATGGTGCTATCGGATGGAGCCTGAAGGCTTCCTTCACCACCATTTCCAGGTAGTGAAGGTCCTTTGTGTCAGATTCTTCCACCATCCTGTCAAGGCCTACAACGTTTTCAAGTTCATCCTGAACCTTTCTCATAACTCGTGGATGTCTAAGGAGTTCGGACAAAACCCACTCAATTGCGGTTGCTGATGTATCCACTGAGCCCACAATCATGTCCTGCAAATTATGAAAGTTATTACACACACACACGCACACACACACACATATAGAGAGAGAGATTAAATCCAATAAAAATAATGAGTTCAAAGTTGGTTAAATTACATTAATAAGTGCTTTGAAATGACGACGGTTGATGCGGAACTCAGCTTGTTCAGATTCCATGAAATCCAACACGATATCTACGAAATCCTTGGTCTGCCCTCTGTCCCTGAATTGAATATGCTCGTCAATAATCTTCTCATAGAAATCATCAAACACCTTGCTAAGAGCCTTCATTCGTCGAGTTAGTCCCTGTAGATCAAGTGCACCGATGTAGGGGAAGAAATCACCAAGATGAGGAGCGGCCGACAACTGCATCACATCTCGCATCACCGCCTTGAACCCCCTCTCATCAAACTTCTCTTCCTCGTATTTCTTCCCAAACACCATCCTGCAACTCATGTCCGCACTCATAGATGCAATCTTGGCGCTAAGATCAACGGCCACATTATCACGAGAAGCCTGTTCGATAAAATCAACGAGAAGGCAGAGTTCCTCCTTCCTCATGGATTGGAAGGAAGAGATTTTTGGATGACTGAGCAACTCCGAAGTGCAGAGCTTGCGCATGGTCCGCCAGAAATGGCCGTAGGGGACGAAGGTCATGTTATTCTGCTCGTAGGAAATGTACTTGGCAGCCTGGAGAGGAGGCCGGCTGGCAAAAACAACGTCATGAGTCTTGAGGAACTGCTCAGCGGCCTCAGGGGAGGAGACGACGATGATGGGGACGAAGCCGAAGTGCATGTACATGATTGGGCCGTACTTTTTGGCCAGTTGGTTGAGATCATGGTGGGGATTCTTGCCCAGGAGATGAAGGTGACCCAGAATCGGGACACCTCTTGGCCCGGGAGGCAATCTGCCATGCTTGGTTTTCCTCCTCAACCATGGTTGCAGAAGATAACCAACAGCTAACACTGTGAATAATATTGTCCAAGCCCAAGCCATGGCCATGGATGCTCACTAACAGTCTCTCGTTCCAGCCTCAGAGCTGATATTTTTGAATTTTTTGGTTTAAATTTTTGATTCTTAGGGAAAAAACTCTTTATATAGAAGCTCTATTTTGCCTGAATCTGTAGCCATACAGAAGAACGGTCAACCGAAGGCACCTTTGTTGGACTTCCAGCTGTTCAGGAATTCTATGAAATTTCTAAGGTTTACGTCCACATGGGGCCGTTGATATTTATTTATTTATTATTGAGGACGATCACTTCCTTTTATCTTTTCAACAATATGCATATACCCATTGCTGCATTATAAGCATTTTTATCTTGTAAACTTTCCGATCGTAAGATAGTAAATTTGGACAAAGTTTCCGGAAAATAAATTTTAAAAAATAGATTTCAATATAATATATTTGCAAAAAGAAATAGATTTTGTTATTTTATTACGTTAAAACTTTTTGAAAAGTAGTTAAGCCATTCAGTAAAAAACGAAATTAGAGTGCATTTGTTAATTTTTTTTTTAAAAAGTACTTTTTATTATTAAAAACGCATTTTTAGAATACTTTACACCGTTCGGGTAAATTTTAAACATAAAATAAAATAAAAAATAAAATTATGATTATTTTCAAAACTAGTTTGAGTAGTTTTTTGAAAAGCAGCACCGCAATTATATTTAGACATAAAATAACTTCTATTTCTTGTAAAATTTTTATAAAAAATTTATATTTTAAAATTATTTTTAAAAACATTTATCCAAACAAACCCTTAATTACCCACCTTGGCTCAAGTTTTCTACGGTTTAGGTAGATATTTGTACATAGTAAACTGAAAAAAAAAAAAAAAAAGAAAACACAAAGGAACTGGTTGGCGGTCATCTTCTATCCTTAATTTCATCATTATTTGCTTTATTTGTCTTTCCCTTATAGGCTAGGCCTTACCCGCTTGCAATATTTTGGGCTGGTTTCAACTTAACGTCACTGTCAAATCTCAATTTAAAACGAAGTTACCAAGTGCAAGACAATCGAAAAAGAGAGCAGCCATGAATAACACTTAATTTTTTCATTGTCAATTGTTCAGTTTTAAAAAATTGCCTATTACTTCAAATATTTGTCAAAAGGCCAACAGTTGGAGGTGGCGTGGATTACAGGGTAAACTAGAAAGACACCGGTCATAAACAACCGTCAAACACGCTGGAAATTTAAGCAAGAATAAGACATCGTCAGGGTGTCAAAGCTACGGTTCAGTTTTGAATTTTTTTCAAATTGAAGTGAGCATATTAGTCTTAAATCTTTTTAGACATGATCAATTTTTTATTTATAAAAAAATTAAATCAAATCGAACTAATTTAAACTGGTTTGGTTAGGCTGACTTGATAGGTGCAGATCAATTTTGAATACCTTACAAAATAAAATATTTGGATAAGTAAAAATAATCATGTAATTAAAAAATCAAATATATATATGTATTTTATTAGTAAAGATGAATATTAGTAATAAATTTTATAACTTTTGTTTAATTAATAATTTTTTCATAAACTTCATAATTATAAAAAAAGTACAAAAATAAAAATTACAAAAAAAGGAAGGGTAAGTTTGGTTAAACTCGATTTTCTTGGGGCTAAAACCGAAAACCAAACCAAACCAAACTGATTGGTTTAAAAACTTTTAAAACTAAATTAAATTGATTCCTTTCAATTTTATTCAATTTTTAAATGGTCTAAATTAGTCCACTTGGTCTAGTTTGATTTTAAACATTCTTAGACATCATCAGTTACAAGTGTGAGTTGCTCCATTGTTCACTTCAACCAAGACTAGAACTAAAATTAAGAAGAGAAATTTACCCCACTTTGAATATTTATCAGATTTTAAAATTTTTATTTATATGAACTAATAAAATTAACGCAGGCAAAGAAGAAGCATGCCATTAAAATATTTAATTTAAAATCAAAATATTTAAGGTATTTAAATGCAGAAGGTAGAAATAACTCAAATAATGAGGTGTCTATCGAAAAAAAGGCATTCTCAACGAGGGACAAATTTAAATGGAACATTATCTTAAATTTAAATTTTAGATTTGAAGTATGAAGACGGAAAGAAGGGGGTTTGGGTTAGTTTCTTTTATATATGAGAGATAATGTCTATATTTTTTAGAAGAAAATGTTATTTTATAAAATTTTTATTTTTCACATAGGTAAATTGTATTTGTCCAAATGTCCAGGGTTTTGAAACCCATAAATCCCCCTAGATACTAGAGCATTCTGCAAATTAAGATTATAATTTATATAGATTAAGTAAACGATAATATCAATTCTTGACCCTTACTTAGGGTGAAACATTGCTTATGTTAATAATTATTGTATATTATATATATATATATATATATATATATATTGCTTCTAATGCTCCGTATTGTTGAATATAGTGGTGAATCGATTCCATCTACGCTACAGTAGGACCATAGGCAGGACAAGAATATTCGGACCCCTCTCACTACCGCCAACAGCTCTCATGCCACAACTCACAAACAGCACCTCCTCTAGCCTATTAGTAATTGATAGCTGTACAATTTGTTATACTTCATTGTCTGTTATTTAACTTTATTGTGTATATATGTATTCTAGATAGATGCAGAGTAAAGAGAGATACAAGAGCAGAGCATTTGGTTTTCATTCTATAATTTCCAATAGTAATACACAGAGTAGTTTAATTTACACTATCCATTGTTTCTTCCTCTTCAATCAAACCTATTCTACTATAACTCATATTTTTACACAGTATCAGAGCCATAGTAGGCAGATTGTTACTCCTCTCATAGACTATTTCCTCGTCTATTCTTCATATCTGCAAAAACATCAACAAACAACATTGATTTGTTGATCAATAATTTTCAGAATGCAAGCAATGTTTAGAAACAGGTCCCAAAACAATAATAATAAAAAAATATCCAAAAATTAAAACAAATAAATATTGAGGAAAAACTTATTTCAATTAATCAACATAAGCAAGGACATACTTTACAATTGATTTTAGAAAAACTTCCAATATGACCCTGACAAGATTTCAAGAAAATAAATCCATATCGCTTCACATCCTAATCCTAGATTGTTGGAATTCCCAACTCTACTACCAGAAAAATGTCATTTTGTGACCGCATGATCAATCATTAATTTCAACGGGCAATGGTCACTGAATAAATCAGTGATCGTATTTGTAACCGCTACGGTTGGTCAGAAAAACCCTCGCCACTAATCGGTTTTGTGACGAAGGCAATCACTAATCAGTGACCGAATATAATTGGTCACTAATTAATGACCACAATATTTGGTCACTAATTAGTGACCGCTATTACTTCAGTCACTAAATAGTGCCGCAGTTTTCCATCATTAATCTGTGACTGAAAAACATGCGGTCACTAATTAGTAACTGATATGGCAGTCACTGATTAGTGACCGATTGCAGCGGTCACTGATTAGTGACCGATTGTGGTGGTTATTGATTATTTTAATGACCCTTCTTATAACAAAATTAGATACTCATTTAGTGACTGAGAATGCGGTAAGAAATCAGTGACCACAATTTTTCCGTTTTTAGTCAATCACTATTTACTAACCCTCATTAAACCTTATATCCTAACTGCGTGCAGGGTCACAATTGGGTCACTAATTTTGTGACCTTCTTGTGACCCATTGTAAGGGTCACTGATGCTGTAATTGCTGTAATGCATATATATCATTTCAATTCCCATAATGCATTATAAAAATTCCTATAATACATTTGTATCATTTTAATTGTCATTTACCAGTAACATACATGAAAAGTAATGAAATATTATAGTACAATTAGTTTGAAATGTCAAAATCTTTAATAATACAATTTGATAACTATTTTGGAATATAAAAAACGAAATAAGAATGTAAAGTATTGAAACATAACAATGTTAAAGTGTAACTTCACTGCTTATTACCTTCTTTAGTGCTCTAATTTTGGGTTGATGATCCACCTTACATTGTATTGAACTTTTTCATCATTGTAGCCATTGTAGCCATCATAGCCTCCTCCCTAGCTTTCATTGCCTTTTCGCTGGCCTTCAGTGTCTCTTCTACTAATTTCTTGGCCTCTTAAAGCACTTGTGCCTCTCTTGATGTTGTTGCTTGTCTCTCCTCTACAAGCGCGTTAACAATTGCCTCTTGTAATTGATCCAAACTGACATATCTAGGATGAGGTGCTGTAAAGATGGATTCAGACGAACTGCCAATAGAAGCAAGCTCTCTACAATGATAGGTGTTCTCAAAACCATAAATTTGATTCTTGCAAGGCCTACCACAGATTGCAACCCATTTCTATGCATCAAATGAGATTTCTGGAGTAGGATTGCTGCCATATTGACGACAATATGAGTGGTCATACTCCTCTTAGAAATAAATCAATGACAAATAATCACATTACCTTACATGATGATAAGACTAGAATAGAAGAATTAAAAAATAGATTTTGGTTTGAAAGACAAATAGAACTGTGCTTATAACTCAGTTGCGATATTCTTATAACTAGTCGGAACTATGCTTGTAACTGAACTAAGGGATACTTATGGCTTAGACCTGTTCAATTACAAACAAGGTTCCATTTATTTTTGCAAGCAGATCTCAGTTCAGTTCCAAGCATATCTCTTTTCAGTTACATGTAGATATGTCCCTTTATTTAACCAAACTAGGACCAACTCTTAGAAATAATGACTTGTTTAGTTATAAGCATAGCTTTGTACGGTTATAATTGTTGTCCCAAAAGGTAACCCAAGTGGGGGGGTTAATTGGGTTTTTATCGCCAAAGTTAAGAGTGTGAAAAATTAAAAACAATAATAAAAATATTGAATCAATAAACTTATACAATTCACCCAATAATAAATATAAAACAATTTTAGGTAAAGTAAAGAGAGTAGGGATAAGAGATGCAAACTCTTTTATAGTGGTTTGACTTGCTACCCAAGTCTATGTCCACTCTCTCGAACTCCAATCGGCCGAGGTTCCACTAAGCCTCTTACACTTGACGGAGACAAGAAATCCCGAGTACAAACAAAGTCCTTTACATTTAGTGGAGGTAAAAAATCCTGATTATAAAGCCTTTGATTCGGTGAGCATCAACACCAATACAAATAGTAATGAAGATGAAGTAAAAATGTAGCAATTTCTCTTAAGTAGGATTAGCTACCACTCATGTACAAAAATGATTTCACTTCAAATAGGCACTCTCAAGAATAAAACAATTTGCTATATACACTCTTTGATCTAATAATAAACAATGAAGCAC